GTGGATGGAGGTGGGGTGGGGAGGGATATGGCAGGCAGCTGGGTGAGGGGAGGTGTCCCACCAGGAGGTCAGCTCAGCACCCCAATAGCTCTTCAGAGCACTGCCCCCCAAAAACCAGCCAGCAGCCCCGGCCCCAAGCAGGACTGAAGGAGACCTGGTGCTGTGAGGGGACCCCGCCGTCCACAGGTCCCCTCTGTCCCCCCACGGTCACTCTGGAGGCAGAGGCGGCCGTGGCCCTGCTGCTCCAGCCCCCACCCGCCTCTCTGGAAGCCCCTGTGGACGCCCCTTGGCTCCCTCCATGGAGTCCATCTGGTGCCAGCTCTCTGTTCCCTGGCGTTCCGTCCCCCAGGGCACCCTGCTGCCTGGGGGCGGGAAGGGGGTGCAGACCCTGAGGGGGGCCTGGGAGGGGCTCCTGGCACACCTGGGAATCCCCAGAAACTTCAGATGCCAACTTAATAATTTAACAAACTGAGTAACAGTTTGGCCATCTTCCCGCCAGATCTGTTATTACTTAAAAGGCTGCGACAGGGAGAAGGAAAGTGAGCAGCTGGCAGGACCCCGCGTGCCTCCCTGATGCCTCCATGGGGCAGGCCCAGCCTGCAAGGCTCAGTGCTGCGGCCTCACGACCAGTTCTATCCCCAGACCCCGTCCGGTCCTGGGGTGCTGAGGCCTGGGCCCAGTCGGGAATCCTCACTGTCCGTTTCCACAGAGGCCCTGCCCCCCAGGCTGCTCCACACCGCAGGCCATGCTTCCTGCTCCTGCCCACACCCACCTGCACAGCTGGCCTCCCGGCTCTGGGCAGTTCACCCCACACCAGCCCTGCCCCACAGCACAGAGGCCGCAGAGCTGGTGGGGTCAGGGTCAGGGTCAGGGTCAGGGAGGGTGGTGGCCCTGATCTCACAGGGGCTGGGAACGGTCCCTTCAGGGCTGCCCAGCAGGGCCCAGGGCCCGGGTGGGTGCAGGGGCAGCCAGTCCCAGCGGAGCTCCTGGCCGGGGGAGGTGCCCAGGCCACACCACAGACAGCCTAACACTACCCTGTGGGCACAGCGTGGGAGGCCCCTGCGAGGCCAGGAGCTGGGGTGGCCGGGGGAGGGAGGGGGCGGAAGGCCAGGCCCCATACCCAACGAGGGCGCAGAGCATCTCCAGAGCCTCAGGGGAGCCCGGGGCCCTGTACCACCCCTCCCCTCCCCCAAGGCAGGTGGGTTAGGGTTAGGGTTTGGTTAGGGTTAGGGTTAGGGTTAGGATTAGGGTTTGGTTAGGGTTAGGGTTAGGGTTAGGGTTAGGGTTAGGGTTAGGGTTTGGCTAGGGTTAGGATTAGGGTTAGCCTTATGGCCAGGATTAAGGTTAGGGTTAGGGTTGTGGCTAGGATAGGGTAGGGATAGGGCTAGGCCTATGTTTTTGTTTAAGGTTAGATTTAGGTTAGGGCTAGGGTAGGGTTAGGGTGTAGGGTTAGTGTAGGGCCAGGGCTAGGGTTAAGGTTAGGGCTAAGGTTAGGGTTAGGGCTAGGTTTAGGGTTACTGTTAGGGCTCAGATTAAGGTTAGGGCTATTGCTTAGGTTAGGGTTAGGGCTAGTTGTTCAGCTAGGGTTAGGGTTATGGTTAAGGTTAGTTTCAGTGTTAGGTCTAGGGCAGCTCTGGGCAAACTACGGCCTGTGGGCCGGATCCGGCCCGTTTGAAATGAATAAAACTATTGGAAAAAAAAGACCGTACCCTTTTATGTAATGATGTTTACTTTGAATTTATATTAGTTCACACAAACACTCCATCCATGCTTTTGTTCCGGCCTCCCGTCCAGTTTAAGAACCCATTGTGGCCCTCGAGTCA